CAGGAGGTGCCATTTAATCTCATGTAAGGAGGTTCCAGGTTAAAGGTGATAGTAGGTGTGGTCCAGGGGCAGACTGACCATTTGGAAACTCAGGCACTGCCCGAGGGCCTGGGGTCAGTTGGGGGCCCCATGAGATGCCCCTGGTACCTTTTGATAGGCTTTTTTGAGTTTGGGCAAGGACACAGGGGCCCCAATGATCCCCTATTGCCGGGGGGGCCCCATGAGTTGTCAGTCCGCCCCTGGTGTGGTCTGTGATCAAAATGTAAAATATTGATCAAAAGATGGGAGATTGTAAAGGAAATTTGCCAATTCTGTATAAAAGTGTATTCTATTTTGTATGCTTTGCCTATGTATTGTACACTGCACTCATTGTGCACACTGCACTAATAATTCAAGTCCTGATTAGAAATTACCCTGCCTATGTAACCCCCTTGTTACCATAAAAGTACAATTGTAATATCAACTTGCCCTCCAGGGGATTTACCCCCCTTCCTGACCAGGCCATTTTTTGCATTATGGTGCTACGGTAATTTACCTGACAATTACACGGTTATGCAACACTGCACCCAAATGAAATTTAGGCCTTTTTTCCCACAAATAGAGTTTTCTTTCAGTGGTATTTTATCACCTGTGTGTTTTTTATTTTTTGCACTATAAACAAAAAAAGGCTGAACATTTTGAGAAAAAAACTATATTTTTTACTTTTTGCTATAAAACATATCCAGTAGAAAAATGTAAAAAAATCAAATTTCATCATAAATTTAGGCCAAAATGTATTCTTCTACATGTCTTTGCTAAAAAAAATCCCAATACGTATAAATAAATTGGTTTACATGAAAGTTATAGCGTCTATATACTGGAATTTTTTTTTTTAATGCTAGTAATGGCGGTGATCAGCAACTTCAGTGGGACTGTGAAGGGCATTCTGACACCAAGTGGGAACTGACTAACTGCTACTGACATCCCCAGTGACACTAATACAGTGGTTAGTGCTAATAAAAAGCACTGACACTGTACTAATGACACGGGGCAGGAAGGGGTTAACATCTGGGGTGATCAAAGGGTTAACTGTGTACTGTGCTGTGTTTTACTAGGGAAACATGCTGCTGTGTATTTCTCTGCTGTGCAGAAAAATACACAGCAGCATGTTGTTGCTGGCAGGAGAAAGACCTGTGTTGTTTACATGCAGGTCTCTCCCCTGCCAGTGTTACTCGTCGATTGCTGGGTGCCGGCGGGGACTTGGTGATTGACGTCCGTAGCCACCAATGGTGGTGCAGGTAGGGCAGCACGCCCCCCTACCCGGAAATGCAATCAACATGACAATGATCCCAAACATACTGCCCGAGCAACGAAGGAGTGGCTTCGTAAGAAGCATTTCAAGGTCCTGGAGTGGCCTAGCCAGTCTCCAGATCTCAACCCCATAGAAAACCTTTGGAGGGAGTTGAAAGTCCGTATTGCCCAGCGACAGCCCCAAAACATCACTGCTCTAGAGGAGATCTGCATGGAGGAATGGGCCAACATACCAGCAACAGTGTGTGCCAACCTTGTGAAAACTTACAGGAAACATTTGACCTCTGTCATTGCCAACAAAGGATATATAACAAAGTATTGAGATGAACTTTTGATATTGACCAAATACTTATTTCCCACCATAATTTGCAAATAAATTCTTTCCAAATCAGCCAATGTGATTGTCTGGATTTTTTTTCTAATTTTGTCTCTCATAGTTGAGGTCTACCTATGATGCCAATTACAGGCCTCTCTCATCTTTTTAAGTGGGAGAACTTGCACAATTGGTGGCTGACTAAATACTTTTTTGCCCCACTGTATATATACACGTGATTTTGCGCAGCCCTTCTGCTACAGGGCGGCAGGGAAGCGGTTAACCTCCCTGGCGGTCTGATTATGTCAATATTTTTTAATGTCAAAGCGGTACATTGTTTTGCATGGTAATTTGTTGTTTTATATTGTAGGTCTGTACAGGGGCATCTTCAGGAGGCACCATTTAATCTCATGTAAGGAGGTTCCAGGTTAAAGGTGATAGTAGGTGTGGTCCAGGGGTGGACTGACCATTTGGAAACTCGGGCACTGCCCGTGGGCCTGGGGTCAGTAGGGGGCCCCATGAGATGCCCCTGGTACCTTTTTCATAGGCTTTTTTGAGTTTGGGCAAGGACACAGGGGCCCCATGATCCCCTATTGCCCGGGGGCCCCATGAGTTGTCAGTCCTCCCCTGGGCCTGTAATTCTTAGGAATAAGTCACTTAAATCTGTCCAAACAAGAGTCTGTTAAGCATCCCACGTATGATAAAGTTAGAAACATGAAATCATAAATTATAATATAATAAATAATTAGAAAAAATAATAATAATACATTTACTTAAATTTAATTCAATAATGTAATCAAACCAAAAACACTGAAATTTCTCCAAGCAAGGGTGCAATATTACTAGACACTGCTTACTGGTTTAGTATACATCCTGGGTATGAAAAATTCTGAAACATGGGACTGCACAAAGTCCAATGTCACAATCAGGTGCTGTCTGATCCGTACCACAATCAATAGAGCACCAAGTTCGAACAGCACTGAGCTCAGTCGCAGAATCGTCGCTGTCGTCACTTTCAGTGTCTGATGACGAATTTCCCCCCACGAATCACTATCACTCAATTCTGCAAGAGATTCTAATTTACTATCGCTGTTTTCTAGCTGGTCTAAAACGGCTTTTGACCTAAAGGAACGCTTTTTGGATGCCATGGACGTTCTCAAGTTTTCAGGCAGAAAGAATAGTAAAAGTGCAGGCAGGGCACTGGACAAAGCACTAGGGACAGAATTTAGGTGAAATTGTTTGATACAGTAATGTAATCCTAACAGACTACAATGTATTGTGTGTATATCATGTTTTCTTTACTTTTTTGAATCTCCTGCTGGTTCCGCCCCCCTACGTCGCGGCATTCGCAGGGAAGGGAACCCGGAAGACAGATGCCGGTATTGGCCAGAGGACACAGTGGGAAGACATTGGGGGATCGCGGGACAAGGTAAATTAAATTAAACTACAGTGTAACACTCGGCATTACCGCCAGGGAGGTTAATGTGATACCTACGTAATCAAATGTATAAAAAACTTCAAACGCACCGAATAAACAGAACAGTGATTTGGAAAGATGCTGAGTGTATCTTTTTGTTTCTGTTCCCTACCTAAAGTAGTTTTTATTAATTTGGAACACCTAATAAATATGAGGATAGGAGTTGATTATCTATAAAATTTCAGTATTAATGTCCATAACAGTGTCTGTGGAATTATTTATTTATTTGTTTTGCACAGTTACATGGAACACCTTATATTCTGTATAGTGTACTTGTATGAAAACAAATGATTGAAGACTGCACAATATGGATGTTTCATTATATTGCACTTTATGAATGATTAGATATGTTGTGAGAATATGCATTTTGTTTACAGATTGTCTACATAAGATATATAGTGTATTACAGGCAGCACAGTGACTAAATGGTTAGCACATCTGCCTAGCAGTACTAGGGTTGTTGGTTCAAATCCCAGCCACGGCACCTCCTGCCTGGAGTTTGCATGTTCTCCCTGTGCCTGCATGGGTTTTCCTCCTACACTCCAAAGACATGCTGATAGGTGAATTAGCTCCTGTCTAAATTAGTATCTGTATGTATGAATGTGAATTAGGGACCTTAGATTGTACACCCCTTGAAGGTTAGGGATTGATATGAATGTACAAAATATAAATCACTGCATAAAATGACAGCACTATATAAAAGTACCTGAAATAAATAAATAGATACACTGTTAAAAACAAAAAGATATTTAGTGTATCATATGAGCACTGTATGATAAGAATATAGCAATTTACACAGAGTGTGGTAGATACAGCTGCTGTAGATATAGGCACTTAGGGTGTTAATAGATCAAATTAATTTCAATTTTAAACTGGATGAATTGTTTTACAAGAATTTATAAGAATTCAAATATACTTTAACTATACACAAGGTTTGATTTTGCTTTATACATGTTTTTATAGGTTATATTATCATTTAAAGAGTTAAGCCTGAAAGGTATGAGACAAATTAATTTCCCAAATGGAAGGCATGTCATCCATCTGCAACAGGATACTTGGCTTCTATGAGGGTCACAACTGACGTCAATCTGCAGGCGTTAAGTCTAGTTGTGATATCCATCCAGCCCAACCTCCACTAACAACACAGAGCCAGGCCAGCAAGAGGGTGATCAAATCTCATTGAGCTATTTTGGTTTCTCAGTGTATAGCTTTTGCTGTACTCTTACAGAATATATGTATGTGTGATATGTCAGTAAATAAATCGTCACCAATATTTGAAGAGGCTGGAACATGTGACCTGAGCCATGTGAACTGATGGTAGCAATATGACAAGTATAAAGATAGTTCAGCTACAATAGATGTAACAGTGAGTTGGAAACTGAAGCAGGGAAGCCGCTTTCTATAATCGTGCCATCCCTTTGTGACCTTTGGCAATTGACTTTACAGCCCACTGACTCATGTGCTAAATACTGAATGAGCCTGTAAACATTTTAGGACTTTAAAAAATATTTTGTGTTGGATTGATGTGAAAGGGATTACCTATAATATGAATATTTGTATTTATTTTAAAAGTGTCATGCAATGCAGACAACAAGAACACATGACATGTGGAGTCACAGATATATCTAGTTTACTAGGTGTATATACTGTATCTATATTTGTGCATACATACAGTTTGCACAGTTTATAAACATTGAGTTTTTGACAAATATTTAAATGGGAAAAATGCAGGTCATCACACAAAAAATTAGCAAGCAGGACTTTTATGAGGGAACCTCAATTATTCTTGCTATGTACAGTTTATAGCAATGGTCATTATTATTATTATTATAATACATGATGTATCCGCTTCCCGTCTGCCCTATAGCAGAAGTACTGCTACAGGGAGGAATGGGTGCACAAAATCACACGTATATATACATGATTTTGCATTTCTGTGTAGGGGGTGTGCGAGAGCCGCACGTATGCCCTACCTGTGCTGCCATTCGCGGCCTCCGCTGTCAATCACCACGTACCGGCTGGTGATTGCCAAGCATCTCCGTAGGGGGGAGGAAAAACTGTTTGTAAACAAAACAATTCTCTCCCCTGTCAGCTTCTGCACACTGCTTTGCATGGCTGTGCATAGCACAGCCATGCAAAGCAGTGTGCTTACAGTGAAGCACACACAGCCACATAGCTACAAACAGCACACAGTTAGCCCTTTGATTGCCCCACATGATAACCCCTTTATGCCCAGTGCCATTAGCACAGTGTCAGTGCTTTTTATCAGCATTGATCACTGTATTAGTGTCACTGTGGATGTCAGTGACACCAAGTCAGTTCCCCCCCAGTGTCAGAATGCCCGTCACAGTCCCGCAGTCCTGCTATAAGTCGCTGCTGCCTTTACTAGTAAAAAAAAAAGATCCCAGTATATACACCGCCAATTGTAAACGCTATAACTTTAACGTAAATTAATTTACAGATATTGGGATTTTTTTTCAGCAAAGACATGTAGCAGAATACATTTTGGTCTAAATTTATGACGAAATTAGATTTTTTAAATTTGTTTACTGGACATGTTTAATAGGAAAAAGTCAAAAATATTGTTTTTTTTCTCAAAATTGTCAGTCTTTTTTTTTATAGTGCAAAAAATAAAGAATGCACTGATCAAATACCACCAAAAGAAAGCTCTATTTGTGGGGGAAAAAGGACGTAAATTTCATTTGGGTGCAGCGTTGCATGACCACGCAATTGTCAGTTAAAGTAATGCAGCGCTGTAGTGCAAAAAATGGCCTGGTCAGGAAGGGGGGTAAATCCTCTGGAGGACAAGTGATTAAAAAGCGTCAAAATTTTGTGCAGCGTTTTACAAAATTAAGGTAAACATTACAGTTCCAATACAATTTGGTACAAGAGGAAAGAGAGGGCTCTGCTTGTTAGAGTTTACAATCTAGGAGGATTAAAGGATAAATCACCTTTTGGAACATGTTGCATGTTCCACCCATTTTTAGGGTGGAACATCTAACATGTTCCCATAGCAGCAGCAGCAGCTGCTGTCCCTCTCCCTCTGACAGATAGTATGGGGAGAAGTTTCCCCGCCCTATCTGTCAGATTTGAAAACAGTGGAGCCCCGCAGGGTCGCGTCACTCATTCACAGTGTTCTGTGAATGAGTGCCTAAAAGTCCTGACAGCCTTATGCAGGCCATAGATCGGCCGATTTTTCAGCCAAAAATAAAATCGGCCAATTTTCAGATCGTTAGTGGGTTAATAGGTCAGCCGTTTTTTGGTATTTTGGCAGATTTTTTTATCGGTAAAGTTGGAAAAAGATCGCCCGATTTTGCCGATCGGACGATTTTTGCGGCAATTATGGGCAAATCGGACGATCTTTTTACCGATAAAATATCTGCGCGTGAGCAGTGACCTGCAAGAGGAAGACAAAAAGAAGAAAAAGAAGAAGAAGAGGATGAAGAAGAAGAAGAGGAAGAAGAGGATGAAGAAGAGGATGAAGAAGAAGAAGAAGAACAGAATGAAGAAGAAGAAGAGGATGAAGAAGAAGAAGAGGATGAAGAGGATGAAGAAGAAGAGGATGAAGAAGAAGAGAAGAGGAAGAAGAGGATGATGAAGAAGAAGAGGATGAAGAAGAAGAGGATGATGAAGAAGAAGAAGAAGAAGAGGAGGATGAAGAAGAGGATGAAGAAGAAGAAGAGAATGAATAAGAAAAAGAAGAAGAGGATGAAGGAGAAGAAGAGGATGAAGAAGAAGAAGAAGAGGATGATGAAGTGAATAGGATGATGAAGGGGAAGAAGAAGAGGAAGAAGAGGATGATGAAGAAGAAGAGGATGAAGAAGAAGAGGATGAAGAAGAGGAAGAAGAAGAAGAGGAAGAAGAGGAAGAAGAAGAGGAAGAAGAAGAAGAGGATGAAGAAGATGAAGAAGAAGAGGATGAAGAAGATGAAGAAGAGGAAGAAGAAGAGGAAGAAGAAGAGGATGAAGAAGAAGAAGAATTCCAGTCCGGCAAAAAGTGTCCCTGCAGAGAGCTCGCTATTTCTTTGACAGTGCTTTGACATTTATAGCGGTTGCAACAATGTATCTATTTGTTTCTGAATAAAAACATCTGTATCTGAAATGGATACAAATAGATACATTGTTGCAGCCGCTATAAATGTCAAAGCACTGTCAAAGAAATAGCGGAGCTCTCTGCAGGGACACTTTTTGCTGGCTGTAGACTGGATGAAAATAGGCCGATTTTTTTTATTATTCCTGCTAACATCGGCCGCTTGAACGACCAATTTTTCATTTTTTTAAGGAAAAATCGGCCGGTTTTTCTCCCCATCTATGGCCTGCATTAGTGGCTGTCAGCTTGTACTTTATAATGAACTGCCACGGTGCTGTGGAGAGCCGTTGTAGTTCATTCAAGCTTCCTATCAGTATATCTGCTTGCTTGTACATACCGTACGGCAAGAAGATATTCTGACAGGTCTGCAGGAGACCAGCATGGCATCAGAGATCTACTGATGGCTGGTGCAATGCTTTCCAGGCTTCTTTGGACAAAAATAATAAATGCACATTTTTTTACCAGCAAAAAAATGTGCATTTATTATTTTTGTCCAAAAGGTGAACTTTAACTGTACGGGAACGTCCCATGCAGGAAAAACATGAAAATGCTCCTAGTGGGAATATGATCAAACGTGTACACTTTATATGATTTACAGTGACCACTGAAAGGTAGAGATCAGTGACTGGACAAATCTCCCCTGCAGCCTATTATATTCTGACAGCCAGCTCTGTCAGAACACCCAAACAGTTCCCTCATTGATTAAATGCAGGAGTGTTCAGCAAACAATTTTCTGTCCAGCTACTTTGATTTTTCAGATGAAGGATAGCATGGGGGTGGTGGGGGGGGGGAGTTTACTAGCAGGGCCACTCACTGTTTGAATTTTGGCTGATGCATTAACCCTTTGAGGACCAAGGGACGTATTTTTCCCATGTTTTTAATTGCCTGTATCATCTGATTAAGAACTTAAAATACTTTTTTTTTTTTTGGTTTGAGTCAAAATATTAGTTCTTATCAACAAATGGATCTAGCTTTTTGCCAATTATTTCATGAAATGGCTTAGTTACAGCAACTAAAGTGTACGAACTTTAAAAACAAAAAATTGATTCTTTTGGCGTTCCATAATCTTATGGTCCTCAAAGGGTTAAGAACCAACCAATATTTGCCCAGTGTATGGCCAGCGTAAGCAATACAAACTGGTCCACGACTCACACTGGCCTGCAATTGGACATAGGAGGATCAGCAGTACACTAATGAAGTGCTTCTTCTACTCTTTCCTGCTCAATGCATTTTGTGCAAATAAATATAATCTTGAGTGTGAAGGATGACCATCCTTTAGTCAGTCTGCTGCTTCGTATGAAATAACAGGAGACTAATGTCAATTGTGTTAATATTTTTTTCATTTTAAAAATATTAATTTTTAATAATACTACTTCCTGTAGTTCAACAACTAAGTATTATTTTTACCTGAATGTAGTGCACAGTATACCCATCTGCAATTTAAAATAAGAATCATTAACCCTTTCTGAATAAAAACACTTGGTATTTATGTTGTCCATAGGATGTGCATGCGTGCAATTAACCAGTTAGGCTTCAAAGTTATGTTCACATTTAATCAGCACAATAATTGTTTAATAACTTTGCTTGTATTTCATTATTTGTTATACAGAAATGACACATACAGGATAGTTTTTTTTAACACAAAACAATGCTTTATTTGGTGGTAAAAAAAAATCTAAGAAGATCAAGAAGTGGAAAACATTAACTTCCATTAGTTTAGGGTACCATTTGACTGATCAATGGATAAAAAAAATGTTTTTTTGTTTTTTTTTACTTTTAGGATTACTTCAGCAATTCTTATGTAAATAGATACATTGTAATTTAAAGCTCCTAACACCTGTAGCTAATTACAATATAATTTTTTATTTATATTTAACAATATTCTGAAATGCTGATTTACAATAATCAGTACCAATATATCTGCTGATAGCAATTCTGCAGCACAGACTGAAACGTTGGCTGTCAAAGTGAAAGAACGTCCTGTCAGCTACACTCAGGGCTGTGTACCTGGCAAGAAAGGACTAAGTTATACTTTATATGTCCTTAACTGATTGACAGTCATACACACGTGAAAGAAATAAAAAAAATGGATGCTATAGCTAGTGAAGGAAAGATGATACATTTTTCTGATTTCTTTATTAACCTGTATATTTTCATGCAGATCTGTCTGATTTGCAGGTCTGTCTAATTAGGTAATCCAGGTAGTCACAGTGCATACATTTTGTGACTTTCTACAGACTAGAGAAACCTGAATATAGGTTAAAGTACACCTATCTCTTTTGCCTCTTTAGAGACATGTTTCTTTAACAGGCCTTTCCCCTGCCACTCATACTTACCTTACCTGAGCTCCCTCAGCCTTTAGAGATGTCAACCATGATCCACTGCCATGAGCCACCTTTAGCAATATAAACTGAATTTATGTTATGCTTTAGCAATATAATTTTGCATGACCAAACAATAAGTGCCAGTTCACATATATGTGGATTGGATGTGGTTTGCACGACATACAATCTGCATGACATGTGAAAAATCATTGCTTCCTATGGTGCCTGTTCATATATGTCCGGTGCACTGGTGGTGCGGATTCAGTGCTGTTTTAACAACTTGCCTACCTGGCACTTTTACCCCCTTCATGCCCAAGCCAATTTGCAAAGAGGTAATTTTTCACCTTCACTTATGTGAGTTGATGAGGCTGCACTGATGGGCACTGATGAGGTGGCACTGATAGGCAGCACTGATGGGCACTGATATGCAGCACTGATGGACACTGATGAGGCGGCACACATAGGCAGCACTGATGGGCACTGATAGGCTGCACTGATGAGGTCGCACTGATGAGGAGACACTGGTGGGCATTGATGAGGAGGCACTGATGATGCTGCACTGATATGCAGCAATGATGGGCACTAATAGGTAGCACTGATGGGCGACACTGATGGGCGGTGCTGACTGGTGACACTTACTGACATCACTGAATGGCAGCACTGACTGACGGCACTGACTGGTGGCAATGATGGGTTCAACTGCTGGGCGGCACTGATGGGTGGCACTGCTAGGCACTGATGGGTGGCACTGATGGGCACTGGTGGGTGGCACTGCTGGGCACTGGTGGGTGGCACTGCTGGGCGCTGGTGGATGACACTGCTGGGCACTGATCATTAGGGTACCAGTACCTGATCATCAGTGCAGATGTTCTCTGTGACATTTGCTGGTTATTGTCAGTTCTTTCCTCACGCTGTGACAGCATGAGGAAAGTGCTGCCGAT